TTTACAACAAAAATGCCAGTTGATATAATTTATCTTAATTGTTTTTTGCAGTGGTTATATGGCACCAGAATATGCCATCTATGGGCAATTCTCTGTAAAATCTGATGTTTTCAGCTTTGGTATACTGTTGCTGGAGATGATAAGTGGGAAGAAGAATAGAGGGTTTAACCCTCTTAACCATAGTCTTAACCTTATTGAACATGTAAGTATCAAGCTTCAAGACGTGCCTTGTTTCTTTACTTGAACTAAAAAATGACCGATTGTGTATAATTTGTGTTTAGGCATGGAGATTGTGGAAAGCAGGACATCCTTCTGAGCTTATTGATTCATTTGTAAAAGAGTCTTGCAATCTATCTGAAGTATTAAGGTGCATCCACATTAGTCTCTTATGTATTCAACAACACCCTAAAGACAGGCCAAGTATGTCATCTGTGGTTTTGATGCTGGGCAGTGAGACAGCCTTAGAACAACCCAAAAAACCAGGTTTTCTCTTTGACAAGAAATCACTTGAAACAACTTCTTCATCCATTAAAGTGAGATCATCTTCAACCAATGAACTTAGCCTCTCAGTGTTAGAGGCACGATAAAGGTTACTCGAAAACTACACACCTTGTACTACGTAAGTTTCTGAACGTGTTCAGGAATGCATCGCATATACCTTAACTGTTATTTCAATCTTCTACTCTTCTGTAGTTGAATATTCTAAGTAGCTAACTGGAACTAATTTCTACTCTTTAACGATCACTATTTTCATCCAATTTCGGCTTGCTTGATTTTGTTTTTTAATCTTGAATAGCCAGTTAAATATGGCAGTGGGTGAAATGGAGCTTGTAGATGCTAGAGGAGTCCTGTTTTCGGTGTTTGTAACTTTGATGCATTTTCTTTAATTCAACTCAAAGTCTACGTTAGATGACATGTTAAAAGGAGCATAAAGTGTTGTTTGGTGGTGGAAGTTATTTTTCACCTTTTTCGTCGAAAAAAGAAATATTATTTTTTGACTTGAAATTTATATATTTTAGATTAATTGTTGTTTTTTTTTTTAAGAGAAAAAAATAACTTTTTTAATTGAAAAAAATAATTTTTTTAATTGAACCTATTATTATCTCTTAACTTTTAATTAATCATCTTATCATCAAAATTTTATCCTTCTTTTTATCTTTTTAATAAAGGTAATATAGTTAAATACATTAATTGTTTCTCTCAAAATTTTAATCTTGTCTGTATCATCAATGACAAAGTAATTTTGTTGACAAGTAGCATCTAATGTGAACCAATTTAATAGAATTAAGAAGTCTATGTAGTTATTCCATCGAAAACAAAGCCTTATATGGTAAAAATGAGCAATTTGAGTTCTTACGTAAAAAAACTGGAAAGATAATAACCTTGATTAGGAATGAAAAAAGTTTAAATCCTTGATTAGTAAACTTTCAAAAGTTAGATCTATGTGTACTATTTCTTGGCCAGTCCTAAACTTAGATTTAGTTAGAAAACATTTCTTCAAATTTTAACTTCTGATTTTTATATCTTTCTATTATTTTAAAAGTATAAAAAATTTTAACAAAAATAAATATTAAATATATTAGATATATTTTTGAGAAGTTAAAAAATAAAAAACAAAAAACATAATTGCAGTTACAAGTTAATATTGTCAAATTAAATTTTAGTTTATAAAATGGATACTTACTAATAATTTCAATTTTGAAGGTAATTTTTTATTATTGTTAATTTATTAAATAAAAATATCTAGTTAATTTACATAAGATTAAGAGAATGGATAAAAAAAATGAGAAGGGTAGTTAGTTCCACATGTTGCTATTAATTTAATCACCATGTCAGAAGTACGAATTGGACAAAGTTAAACTATTTAATAA